CAGGCCACCGAGCCGCGGGAGACCTTTTCACCCCGCTCAATAACAACTGCAAGAGGAGCCCGCCGCGCCCCGAGGCGGACTCCGGCCCCCACCAGGGTGCAGTCCCCCAAACCACCAGAGGATGGCAGCTGAGGTCCAAGCAGCGGCGCTGAAGTGGCCACGCGGAACACTTTTCATGCCCCCACCGCAACACGCACACGCACACACACACACGCACACACACACACCCACACACACACACACACACACACACACAGTGAAATGCGCACACTGGTGTAATAATCTGAGATCAAAGGTGGTCCCAGATTTCTAGTTTTTTTTATTTATTATTATTATTATCATAAATATTCACTGTAACACAAATGTTTTACTCGTGGACATTATTTAAATATGAAATAAAATATTTGGTCTTCGTATCATTTACTTTTTTTTAATAAGTTTTGTTTTAGCAGTGAAGCAGGTTAAATACTTTAATAGTTCATGTGCTCTTAATCTGTGACAGGCTTCCCAGGTGAAAACACAAATAAGACAAAAGAACCAGGAAAACATTACTTTCCCGTAAAGGATCTTTTAACAAATGTGTTTGTATGACCAAAAATAATCACAGAGCTGAAACATTTTTATTGTATTTTGTCTTTATCCTAAAATAAACAACAATGGCACAGATTACCATTTTCGAATCTCATAACGAAACAAAGGTTGCAAACCTTTGACCAGATCTGCAATTTGAGGGTTGTATTTCTTTCCAACTCTCAATTTGTAAACCCCCTCGTTGAGTCCCTTCTGGGGCTCGGAGGTCAAATAATGAAGGTTATAATCAATCGTTTAAGTATTAAATGACAATATAAAAGCAGTGTGAAAATGGCCTCTCACAGGGATTGATGTAGATTTTCAGATTGTAAGTTCTGGGTCACTCTCCCTTGTCTTACAGCCCCAAAAGGTGAAGACAAGTCAATGATGTGTAATGACTTGTTCACACTGCCCCCTAGTGGCCCGTTAATGGGGGTTTAAAAAAAAGAAAAGAAATCATTTTGCAGTTCTTATTTTTTCCCCCATGGTCTGAGCTGCAACAATAGCCGACAATGCACCTTAAAGCATAAAAACATCTGGATAGGTTACAAGTAAAAGATGAATGTCAGGAGCAGAGAAATAATCCAAAATAAACAGAAATCAAGGCAGAACCAGAGTTTAGAGCCAAATGAGCAGATAAGTTCACGCTCTGAAGATGAGTAGATTAGGTTAAAAGTGTTTGTTAAAGGCTCTATCGGTCCCTGCGGATTGAAGCTTGAGGAGCTGAATAATGCATGTCCGCTCTCGGAGTAATGAAGTGGAAGTAACGGGGAGGAATACGGCTGGCCTCCCAGGGCTCAACACAAACTGTACACACTCTTAAGAGCTGCCTGTAGCCCCAACCTGTCTCCCTCTCTGCCTCCGTCTGCCCTCGTCCACTCCCTCCACGCACGCGCCGCACGCCGGCTAAGAGGGTTAGCTTGTCTCTGTTCCCGTTCCCTACATCATTGATGAGCAAGACCAAGACATTTATAGTATCCCACTCAAGAGTTCAGCGCCTTCCCGATCCTCCGCCAGGCTCTTATTAGGCACGAGCGGCGGACGCGGCGCTCGGTGTTAGCGGCCTTGTTTTGCGGCTCGGATGGGGCCCGTCGAGCACTTGTATGCTCCGTCGGGGGCCATTGTGCTCAACAAGAGGTCGAGTGGTGGAAGGAGAAGGTCTTTTTTCTTTCCTCGTGATGCATTTATTGCCTGTGTTCCTCTTTCTCGGCTTGGATAAAAAGTGGAGGAGCTTCCTTGGGTTTCCCCTTTTCCTCCTCGTCGCGTGGGTCTGATGTTTTGAGCGAGGCCTCCATGGAAACAGCTGTTCTGCACACACGGTGCCACTTCACGAACACCCAGAGATCGGAGCCAGAACCGTCTAAAGGAAGTCTGGTGCTGAGAAACAACAAACCTCAGCTCTAATCCTAACAAACACCACGTTGGCCCGCAGGTACCGCCAGAGCCCCCCACGAAAGAAAGGTCCCGCTAGGACAACTAACATCTCTGCTATAACTTTCTTTTACGATTTGGTTTTCAGTTTTGCAAGATAAAAAGAAAATTGAGAAGACGAGAAGATAGATGTCACTCTTATTTGTCCAGTTAGCTCAGCACGGAGACTGGAAGCACAGCGTTGTATGTCTTCATTTCATCATTTCTTTCAATAACACAATTAGCATCCGAGCGGGAATGAGATAAATAAAACAAATTCTTGACAAAAGGAATTTATTTTTTAACCGCAAAACCGCTTCAATGAAACCATGACAGGCGTTGACATCTAAATAAACAACAGTATTGATGCTGTTGCAGCGAATTCAGCTAATTTAAGGATCTATAGTTTGTTTGTGTCAATTGATGAGCCAATGCTCCAAATAGGCTAGCTGTCTCCAGTCCTGATGCTAAGCTAAGCTCACCGCTAGCTGAGAGTTACCAGAGTCAAGGAGAAAGGGAATAGGCCGAGGCTTATTTTCCACAGATGTCAACCTCTCCATTTGTCGCATCCAGTTGACTACACAACCATTTCCTCCTACTAGATCCGACCAGAGAGCCTCGGTCAAAGAAGAAAAAGGCTCAAGAAACCCCAAAAGTCATGTTTTTGCTGCAGTTCCTGCGAGCGTCGTCTCCTCATCGCCTCCCCTCCGGCGGCCCGGCGAGGTGAAACAGCTCAAAGAAGCCTCAAAAAGCATCCACATGTTAAACAGCGATTAAAATTGCATTGATTTCAGACTCTTAAGGTAGAAAATATTCAAATGTGGCGCAGTGTGATTGAAAGAACTTGTGATTGGGGTTGTTTGGCACCGTCTTCCAAACACTTTGTGCAGCACCCGGGCCTCCTCCTCCTCGCACATTAACACGCTTCTATCATTAACCCCAATGCCCCACCTGCATGAAAGCCAGACGCAGGAAGCGGAGAATAAGAATGTGTTCCCTTTCTCATCTTTTTTTTTTTTTCTTGAGGAGCATCTTGAATGAATGATTGATGTTAGGGGGGGGCAGGATCAGAACGATGTAATCACGGTCTAACGAACGCAGAGCCTTAAGAAATATATACCGGAGGAACGCCATCAATTCATAAACACACCGTGTATTAATATATAAGTAGTGCATTGAATATTCAAATGGGAGGAAAACAACACCGTATACCGAACTACGAGAAAGAATGTCACCAAAAAGTGAGGCCCGGCCGCCTCATTCATCCGTTTACCTTGCGGGTTATTTTCCTCATGAACTGCACGGATCAAACGCGGCCGTGTTCGTTGTCAGGGTCTAAACAAATTGCCATTCTCTCAGAGTGACGCGTGTTTTGTGCGAATAGGCGATAACTTCATTCCCCATCTTTGAGCACAGATGAGGGAGAGACGCGTAGTCCGTGTTCAGCACATGAGCACCTTTCGCGGGACAAATGGAATGTCAATCAAGCGGCGGCACGCGGATGCCTTTTCCCCGGTGGCGCCCGCGATGCTTTCTGGTGATGCGGCTCTGTTGTTCCGGCAGTACTCTGGGTGCACTGGGAATATTTTGTCCTTTTACCCCTCCACATCCCCTCGCTCCTCTTCACATCCCCTGGCTATTAACGATTCCTTCTGCTCCCCATGTTTGCCCTTTTTAAGGCTTCTCCTCTTTTCCACATGTATTGCTTCGTGTTGGGTTTCTCTCACGTAAAGTTTACCTGGGCTGTCCTTATTTTTACTCTGCACCCGTAACTTCTCATGGATTTCCCATTCTGACGCTGCTCACACTTCCCACCCTTTGAAGGAACCGAGGATGAGGTTGCGGAGGATTCTTGTGCTTAATTTTCACAGGAAAGAAAGGCTTATGAGTAAAATGTGAAAGGTCACCAACCTCCTCCAGGAGAAAACGACGACGAGCAGACTGAACTTCCATCAACGAAATGAAACGTTTCAGTAACGTTTTCAGTAAAAAGCTCACTGAAAATGTATTTCATTTCTGTAAATGTATCCAAGGTTGCTCATAGAATTATCACCTTTGGTGACAAAAGCATCCTTTTAGCAGCTTTTATGTAGTCGCGATGCATCGCTCACAGTTCAATTTGTTTCAACCATGAGACACAATGCATCTGTTAACATTCAGCAGAAACAACCTCTCCTTAGATCGAGCAGATCAAATGCTGCAAATAAACTCACTTTTAGATTTACACACACCTTGAAAGTCTGTTTACAATGTGAATATTTGATAAATAAAGTCAGCATCGAGAAATTACTGACTAAAACAGCCCCTTCCTCCTCTTAGAGCCTCTTTCCTCTCTGTCAATCAAACCCCTATAATGTTCTTCACTTCTGCCCCTTTTGCACAAACGTATCCAATTATTTTTAACACTGCAAACTCCTCTAACACTTCTCCTCGTCCCCTTCGCACCTGCCCTACTATACCTGTGCAAAAAGGAACAACGATCTCAAGGTGGATCGGGGAGAAATGAGAGAAATGCTTCCACGGCTTAAGACGTTGTCATTAAAAACATGACAAGCCATTCAGTTGGTAAAGGTGCTTACACGGGGGAATGCTGAGCGTGTTTATTCTCTGATTAATTTGCTTGGAGGAGACCTGAAATCTCCCCACTCATGAATACGCGGGTGACAGGAAGAATTCTCCGCTGTGACAACTTATCTAAACTACAGGGCAAAACGATTATGCTAATATCAGGTTGTAGTCATCAATCATCTTGTGTCATCGCGCTGTCAAGGCATCACGTTCCTGATCCCCCTCTGGCCATAGCACTGTGTGCGTGCGCGTGTGTGTGAGCGTGTGTGTGTTTGTGCGTGCGCGCGTGCTTATTTGGAAAAGGAGAATTGATCACATCCTCATTACGCCCGGGGAACGTTGGTTCTCTTGCGCGTGCGTAAAGCTGACGGAAACCTCGGAAGGAATTAATTAGGTGACTTCCTTCATCTTTATATGAACGCCGTGCTACACGCACACACGCGCGCGCGCAGACACACACACACATGCACACACACACACACACACACCAGCGGAAAAAGTCGGGACTGGGTGACGTCAGAGAGACGCGCCTTAAAACCAAAGAGCGCATCAGAGGGAGATGCCCGGTTTGATCACACGCAACACGCACTCGCTCTTTGGATCGTAAGATAGCGGCGGTGGCGCAGCAGCTCGGCGGACGAGGCGCAGCGCGAGGAGCAGCCAGAGAAGTTACTTTCAGAGACCTTTAGTGCGTAAAATGAGACCGGTGCGCAACAGTCTTCGCGGTAGATGATGTGCACATTTTGAACCCTGAAAAGTTGAATGGAAAAACCGGCCGTGAAGTAGCAAGAGTGGGAAAAAAGTCTACCGTTGCCCCGGATGCTGTTGGATGTGTCCAGGTTTTTGTCTCTTTGATCTCATCTAAGCGATGGCTTACTCTCAGCTGGGATACCCCTACGCCACCACACCGCAGGTACGGTTACATGTGACCAAGTATATTCTCTCAGCATACCAAACATAATCCTGCACAATTAAACGCATAAAAATACCCGACCTTGAACTCTTAATACACACTTTTACTGTTTTTCGGGTGAGGGGAATAACCTTTTTGTATCACCGTGTTACTGATAATGTCATGGGGGGACAAAAAAGGTTAAATCCTAGTTTATTTTCTCCCAAGTTCCTGATGACGCCCAGCTCTCTTGCCGGTTGTCTGGAGCCGGCGACGCCTCCGTCACACCCGGTGCTGCGCTCCCCGGGCCACCAGCTCGCCTCCACCACCGGCATCGGAGTCTACAGCGGAACTTATCCGAAGAGCCAAGGTTACTACAACACCTGCGGCAGCGACGCCGCCGCGCTGTACCCCAGAGTGAGTTCTTTGTCCTCATCGTCGTGACTTTAGCTCAAAGTGCGGGAGGCTTCCCTCATTTTTTTGGGGGGGATGATTTGCAAACACTTGTGAAAACAAAGTGAGGTCATTTCAGGGTAAAGTCGAATATTATGGTCAATGCACGTGAAAACGTTATTTTACGGATCCTAATCAGTTATTGTGAAATATTTGCAGGGGCCACTAGATCCCAAAGACGGAGCTGCATCTGTGGGGACATCTCAGACCCCTGCCTACTATCCCTATGACTATACATTTGGACAATATCCATATGACAGATACGGGTAAGTCTGCATAATGTCCATGTGCTTTTATTTCCCTTCATTTTAACCATGTTTTCTTAATTCAAACTGAAATATATACCATCAAGTGTTACACTCTACGGCTTTATTTGTGTTTCATGGTTTGGTCTTTCTCAAGGAGCCATTAATGATTTAAAGTCAGATGATGTCCATAAATGAGGAAGACCTAAAGTAAGTCACTTATTTTTGGTAGCTGAAAATGATTTGGTTCATTTGGCTCAGGTACTCCTGCTCTGATAGCGCTTCCCGTCGCAAAAACGCCACCCGGGAGACCACCAGCACCCTGAAGGCCTGGCTGCAGGAGCACCAGAAGAACCCTTACCCCACAAAGGGAGAGAAGATCATGCTGGCCATCATCACCAGGATGACCCTCACACAGGTAGCTTTAAATGAAATGTTTTAAGGGCATTCCAGAGTTTCCGGATCCACTGCGTCATGTTTCCCCCTCAATCCATTTACGTTTGCTTCCTCTCTTCACTGTCCTGTACGGATGATTTGACACTCTGATCTCCGACCTGCATCCCCCCCCCACCCCCCCCACCCTCGGGTGTCCACATGGTTTGCCAATGCACGCCGGAGGCTAACTAAGGAAAACAAGGTGACGTGTTCACCGCGGGCTTGGAAAAGCTCTGACCACCGGGGCTGTTATGATGATAGTGACGAAGCGGAGAAGCCCTATAAAAATGCCAAAGACCTCCCGGGTAAGCGGCGCGAAATCAATCAGCGCGTTCAGCTTGCTTTCCCGAGCGCGCCCCGGACCTGATGTTTTCCCGCGTGATTCCTTGTTGCAGATCCACAGTGTGCAGACCTGCAGAGTGACCTCGAGGACTTTGACCTGCTGGATTCGGACGGTTCCGACTGTGAACCGAAGCAACGGTTTCTACCCGCGGACAGCGACCCGAACACAGACCTCCCGCGCGGGCATCTCGCACTCAACCCGGACCCGCTGCTCCGAAACGAGAGGCTGTCCCCGGACTGCCCCAAACTCACACCCGTCAAACAGCAAAACCACAGCTTCTATCCCAACCCGGACCCTCGAAGTACAGACGCCAAGCCCAAGATCTGGTCCATCGCTCACACCGCCGCGTCCTTGGACGGCAGCTTGCAGCCAGAATACCCCCCCTGTATGCTGTCGTCGTCGGGCTCCCCCTCCCACGGGTATCCATCAAATATGGCGCTGACCAAGGCAGACCGGGAACAGGAGTCACCGGTCGCCACGCTCCGGGAATGGGTGGACGGAGTTTTCCACGGCCCTCCTTTCCAACAGCTCAAGCCAGTTGAGGCGTGGAAAGGCTTGACTGATGACAGCAGGACACCCGGACAGTCTTATGAACTTGTGAGGCCCGCGTCCTCGTTGTAGGCCAGCGGACACATCGTCAGCGGAATATAAAAAAAGACTGCTGGACTTGAAACTGAGAGTCTACGTTTTGTTGTTGTGACTTGACTAATTGGCTGTTTGGCTAAGCGCCACCCCGCGTGGTCACTGTGGCTACGTCCGTCAAGCTTTCCAATACCCGCACGCGGCACGTACGCAGTCTACACTGATCACAGTGGCACTGTCAAATGTTTGTACTTGTTTTTGTTTTTTTGTAATTGTTAAAGATTAAGTAAACTATGGATTGACAGTAGTAGATAAAAGCAGGATTCTCGATTTGAGCCAACAACCATCGACGGAATCGACAACTGTTGGCGGCAGATTTCGCTCCATTTAGCTCCCAAACGTTGCCTCCGTTATCGTGTAAGGAAATCTGACTCCAGTTGACGTTCTCATGTGTCCTGTTGTATCTTAAATTCAAATTTGTATGTGTGGTTGCTCGAGTATATACGTGATGAATGACATTTTGATTATTTGATTTTACTCAGAAAAACATTGTTTTAATCTAAAGGCAGATTATCCTTCCACTACGGCCCAAAGCGTATGTGGAGGAACCCAAAGTTCGATGGACCCGTATTGGACGATTGTCGTCCGGAGGCGTTTCGTGAACCCGTCAATTAACAGTGTGAAGGTATTTTTCAATTGGGCCCCAATCAAACAACGTCAAACAAGTGACCCCACACACGCTCCTGCAGCAAGGTTGCCCGGTTCACCCGTGAAAAGATACACAATATTGTACACTTGCACTATAGCCTGCACATGCACTGAGTCACAAAAATAAAAGGTGTATTCTGTAGAATGGCAAAGTTCTCTTGAGTGTGCGCTTGGTCGGAAGCACGAGAGGTATCAGTGTAGAAGATGTAAATCCTGTTCTGGAATAGTGGAATATACCTCTGCAGCTTTGGATACGGCCGTGTGTGTGTGTGTGTGTGTGTGTGCGCGTCAGTGTGTGTTTTGAGGAAGGGAAAGGGGGGGGAGTGGGTGGTATTCATCCGTGACTAATGGAAACACACAGAGGAGGGTGCTGTTAAATTGTTAAATCGATGCCACTTCCACCTCGGCTCCAGATATAGCCGCAATCAGCGATGCGTCCCTTTTCATTAGGCGGCATTTTGACTTTGTCAACCTGGGACTGCGAGAAAATCCACCACGCGCAAAATGCTCCATAGAACCTCTTAAGTAATTTTAAGTAAGTGTCACATCTTTATCCACTTCGGTGAATATTTCATATAACCAATAATAGGAAACGTCATTTGAACGAGAAGAGAAATAAGCCCGGCATCGCAGGGCCTAAGCATTGTATGGAAAATACATTTTCATTAAAAGTTCACAAATTGAGCGCTGAAAAACATTCCACACAACACATTTTAAAACAAAGCATGACAAGAAACAGCGGGTAGATGTCTCTTCCTTTTTTCGCCCCCTCCTCCCTCCTCCTCCTGTTTTTCGATTTAGGAACAGTGATAAAGTATTCATCAGAACAGAGGAGGGATCTTCCTGGGCTTTGTATGGAATTAACCATTTCAGATTAAATAATTCAGGAAGAATTCAACCGAGAATTTCATTCTGTTTCTGCTTCATAAATAAGTAAGATTTAGGATGATAAATAATGACATCTGACTTCTTATTGCTGTAAAGTTTTCTTCCTCCCACTCGCTGTCCGACAGGATCTCACATCTTACAAGACTTTGCTCACAATTGTCCTTTTTTCCCCAAGTTTAATGCGCTAGAAATGCTATAATTGCATTTGCTTTTGAGGTGGATTTTACTTGGAAGGAGGAGGAGGAGGAGGAGGAGGAGGTGGTGTTGTGGAGGATGCAGAATGGCAGTTGGATAAGAGGTTGCGGGTGACCTATAGTGCTGAGTGGGGTTAAGAGATACGGTTATATTTGTTCTCACCTCCAGCCGGATGAGACGCCGCTGGTCTCCGGGGCGAGTGCCATCGGGGAAACTGCAAAAGTGCATAAATGCACATGTGGTAAAAAAACTAAGTGAGTTTAGAACTGTTCGGAATTTTCTGGTTTTTCAAAAATCATGAAAGCCTTTCAGTTGAGTTCAAATAATTCACTTTTTAAACTCGGCACAACGCTGACATCTTTTAAGACACACTTATGCTGAGGCGAGCCAGCAGCTTCCCATGTGCACATCTGGCAGACATAGTGCCAAGTTGTCCTAAATCCGGAGCCACGTTTTGGCGCTCTGCAAATTAAAGTGCAATATCCACTCTTCCTTGTCTACTTGGCTCCTTAGTTGTTAAAATCTCCTCCATGCTCACCAGCTAACTCGCTGGTATGAATTTTAAAATGAGTGGAGATGTTTGAAAGGTAACCACGACGCAAACGTGCTTCCTCCCCCCCCCGCCGCCTCCACCGCCAGACTTTTACTCCATCAGCCGTCTCCTCTCCTTCCTTGTTTCCTTCCCTTCCACCACATCTCATCCCCATCCTTCCCTCCACTCGTCTCACTCTCAGGTCTGTCTGCTCTCGACACACGAGCGAGCCACTCAACAGCCGAGCTGACACGAAGGCCTGCTCCCTGGGCCAGATGATGTGATTAAGCCTCAGTGTGCCGCTGTGCGGCTCGGGGAATGTTACAGCCACTGTTTACTTGTCTGGCTCACACCACCGGCAGCTATTTGGCCTTCAGCCTCCCGCGAAAGACTTTTCTCCCGCTCGCGCCGTGAAGAATTTCCTTGAATTCGTTGTTCACACTATTTGTTCTATTCTCTGTGGGATTTTTTTTTCTTTCTGAATAAGCTCATTCTTTGAAATTCTAGATGGAATATCTGCATAGAAAGCATCGACAACTTCAAATTACTCCTTTCCGCGCCCTCCGTCTGACACATACTTCCTTTCAACGCTGTCAGTGCTCACGCGCACACACACACACACACACACACACACACACATGCACAATCCTAAGTCTCTTGCGTCTTGTCACACACACTTTGGTTTCCCGGGGCTATCAAAGTGGTGAGTGCAAACTCTCCCCTCCAAAAACTGTCACATGTCGCCAGAGGTGTCTCGCTCCCTGCAGTAACCCTCTGAGCTCCTGGCACAAGTACAAGTCATTATTTCCATGCTAAAGGTCAGGAGCCCTGTCACCTGACTCTAAAGTGGGGCTGAGTGGAGTCGCCCCGAGACAATGACCAAAGGTCAGTTTTCTGTTTTTGCCCCTCGTACGGGCAGCCAAGCTTTGAGGAGGCCGGGCTGCTCCGAGATCTGCCCACGAGCCCCTTTTGGTCGCAGCAGCTTCTAGACACGGAGGTTCAGATAATTGGCTGCAGGGAGCTCCATAATGAGCCTGAGGGTCTGTATTATGACACATCTTCAAGGAGAAATATTTTAATGGGGCAATTACAGGGACCGGGAGGATGTTTTGCGTAGAGTGAGTGATTGTTGTGTCGGAGTGCTGTCTTAAGGAACCCAATGGCATTTAACTCCATTATCTATTGTGGCTCGGCAGTGAGGAGATTCTCAATATGATTACGGTCTTATTTCATCTTATCTTTGTCTGAGTGGTCTGACCCGACAGTGCAGGTCACATTATGCGTGAGAGTTGCAATTTTTATCCAATATTATGCTGAAGAAAGTGGATAACTGGATGTAGCCGTAAACCCCCCTGTGGAGATTTGACAGTTTACGGTTGAACCCTTGAACGAGCGCGAGCTCAAATTGGTTGAATACGACTTCATAATCTGGAGCTGCGTTAGATATATGATGTTAAAGAATATTCCATCAGTCTGGCTGATGCGTTTAAGAGCAGTGAATTATGAAACAGTGCGGTTAAATCCAGCACAAAAACGCAGCTCTGTTTAATTCAGCTCAATTCATATGCTCAGTTTCATCTGAAGATTTCGCCCCCGGGCGACGCCTCCAACTCCGCCAACCGCCGGCTCTCAACCATTTAGACCTACCAACCGCAACACCAGCCAGTCAGCTCTCTGACACTGACCCGCCTCATTTTAACAATGCCCCGCTCTCCCTTCAATCATCCAAAGTGGTCTGACTATAGATGAGGTTAACTACAGCATAAGCCTCACTTCCAGGAGTCACCAGGGCCAATTATATGAGCCTGACTACTCTTCCCAACCTGAGCTCTGCCGTGTGGAAAATGCAGTTCCACTGGCTGCATCACTGGGGACAGAACAGGCGAGTGCTGTCTAGAGCCTGAGCCAGGCGCCGGCCAATTTGGCATGCAGAGGTCTATGGAGAATAAGCCCGATGAAATATATATATGATCTTCTTCAAACATGTATTGTTCCGCGCTACTGTGTCTTATCAGGCGGGCTCCCTCCTGATGTCCTCCAGGCTTGGCAGAGCGAGACTCCACACCGCAGACTGTGTGGGACCGATGCACTCGGAATGCTAAGGTTCCCTCAGAGCTCCTTCACAGTGAACGGTAGAGACGAGTCTTTGCTGCGTAAAGAAAGAGCTGCAATCACATTTATGTGTTGCGAGAAGTAGGGGGAAAAGGACCAAACCAAACTCACGTAGATGACAGTGGAGCCGATTTTTAAGGAGCTCTCATTATAGTTCAATGCAAATACAACGGTGTTGCATGCCAACCTATTACAAAAGAAATAGCTTTGGATCGTGCAATAGAAAGTGACGTCTTAAACTTGGCTTTCAGGTCTCTGCACACCAGCGTCGCTCCGGACCAAACTCCTCTGCAGGACTCCGCTGACCTCTGCCTGTCACAGGGTGAACTGCAGCCAAGCCATTCAACCAGCAGCATCCCAGGGTTACACTGCTGCACAGCCGGGCCCACAGGGACGGGCACTGGACAAATCTTTTGATTATCTTCCGATAATCGTGTATGCCTTGTGTGCATTCCGTGCCAGGTAGCGAGAAAACCACAGAGTTGTTGCAATTGACAAGCTTTGTCGAGGATAATGAACTCTGAGACAGAATGACAGACAACATAGAATTTATTAACCAATATGGCAATTTATACAGAGAGGCATTCGCAGAGGAAGAGTTTTAATGATGATGCTTGTGCTGGAACTGTAATCCACAATAGCCGCAAGTGCCCACTTTTGTGTCTTTATCCTGGAGAGAGACAGACAACAATGACAGTAATTAAAATGTAGGACCTTTAGTAAATATGCTGTTATGCTGAATATATACGGATACTCACTAAACAAAACATCACATGAAAATGTTGTGGATTGTCTTCTTTCCTTCATCTCATTCTGAGGCCAAGACTGCGTGTCTGCAATCTGGCTGTATATTTGTATATAACATGTCCTGTGGCTGAGTCGCAGGTATCCCAATTAAATGAATACCAGTAAACCAAGGGAATACATGCTCCTGCTGGAATAACTGGTAAAGCCTTGATCCTGTTAGTGGGTGAAGGAGCTTACCAGGTTGATGTAGACTTTGGGATGCCCCAGGGCGCCTCCGCCTCCATCGCAGGACACCACTCTGGCCTCAACGGGAGTCACTGGCTCTTCCGCCACCAATTTGATGGCAAAGTTCTTATTCACCTTGAAACAAACAACGGGGATCTCTGTCATTGTCTAAGTTAATGTACCATCCAGGTGGGGTCCATTGACGGTATACTGGTGGAGGCACATTTCTTTTGCACGTTTTGATAATTAAGGCCATTGTGCGGACAGCTACAGAACATACCTTCTAGTTAGAGCACATGGTGACAAGAAAAGCAGATTTTGTGGATTATATTTAAGATGCACACACACCCCCACGTAGGACAATTAGCAGTCGCCTCGTTTCATATTATTGGTAACTTCACTCTCCAAGAACCAACCTAGATTTGCTCAGGATTAAGTCAATATTTGTAATTCAAATGGCTGCTGTTTGGTCTTTATTGGGCCTGTTTGTTCGTTGCTTCTTACCTCTTTCTGCCTGCCAACGAATCTGGCCCTCCTGGGATCCTTTTCATCGAACACCTGAGAGGAAAACCACTCAGTTACAACAGTGACCCGCTCTTTGTGAGCTGGCTTACATCAACGTAAGACAGGTAAATAACCGTTTGAGACGACAGGACATCAGCAGTGGAACACATAAACACAATAAACGCAAGGTTAATTGTTCCGAGAAGCTTCGTTGACGCAAGGCTAAGCTAACGTTAGGCCATCCAGTAAAGCGCAACGGAAGCCGTTTTAAACTCACCTGGCCGGTGTGAGTAATGGCCTCGCCGGTACTGGACACTTCTACGCTGTACCGATAAACAGGCACAGCCGTCAACCTCAAAGGTGAAGCAAGCACCTTAGCACTTCTACTGAAGGACAGAACTCTGCACACCGAGGCCGCCATGTTTAAAACAGCCTCTTTTCCCAGGCTGCTTTGTAGTGTTCATTTTGTTTCCCTATCGCTTGCCTGTCAGGTTCAAAATAAGTCATCCTCCGATACATTTTCAAGTTAAGTCGTTATATTTTCGTAAATTTTCTTCAGAAATGTATACAGCTTTGGCCACTTTGGATTTTGTCTCTGTTAAAGATAAGGAAGGCAAGATTTGCCTACAGTCGTGATGAAAACACTGCCTGAAAGGCAGTAAAAAGGGTAAACTAACACCCATGGTATCTCAAACCGGAAGCTGTGTTATCCCCACAAGCAAGAACGCACAGTAACACGGTCGCATTGGGGTGATTTAAACCAAACACTCAGGGACGTAACGCCTGTTTATATATCATCTGGGCATTCCTGAAAGGTTTGTTTTGGTCTTTTGATGTTCTATACATACGCAGACTTCAACGCGGGCCATGTATCATGTCTAGCTTCGTCGCTAGCAGTCTCCTTGGCATGTCGCTTAGCTAACGCTATCAACCGCTAGCATGGATTAGCATAACGTATGTTCAATGTATGTTGGATCTGGTTGCATAAAGTTGGATATTATGTAACGTTAATGTTAGATTAACGTTACATAACGTTACATAACGTTACGTAAGTTAGTAATGATGCCTGAGCATGTCTGAACAATTTTAACTGCGGCTGACATTTAATCTGTTGATTATTTTTTGACATTTTGAAAAATTAAAAAAAGCCAACAAACTGCTGGACATCTCCATATTTTACAGGCTAAAAACTGTATGTTCTATGTATTTTCTAATTGGCTTTGGTCACTGTACTAATTGCTTGGTTGAATAATCCTTGCCGCTGTACTTTGAATATGATGGGAAAGTCGCATCCCAACCTGACACTAAACTATATGCATATGGCTTTTCTCTTTGTCTCTGCAGCCTTCGACACAATGGCGTCCCTCCTCTTAAAGCACCTTGTTACCTCCCTCGCCCGCCAAGTGGCCCAGATGAGCCGGTTAAATGTGACCTCGTCACCAGCAGCTCGCGCCTACGGATGTCTCTGCAGCCTCACCGCGGCACCCCGCGCACCACTCCAGTCATCGACCAGAGTCCGCTCCATCCCGGCCCCCTCCTGTGGCTCCTCTGCTCAGCGTGGGACGCCTCTGTTGGGACAGTGTCAGCATCTTGCCTGCACGCAGCCCTCTGCAGGGATGAAAACCAAGTCCGCCCTGAAGAGGCGCTGCAAAGACTGCTTCATTGTGCGGCGGAGGGGACGTTTGTTTGTGTTCTGCAAGACGAATCCGAGACACAAGCAGAGACAGGGCTGAACTGACAAAGGGGCGTCACTTCGAGGTTGTGGAAATTGAGAAGAACTGTTATTCAAAAATAAAGTGCTCGGTTAAATAATGTTTGTAGCTTTATTACTCCTTTATATCCCTCTTTAACAGCAATGACCCAAAATATATACATTTTCCACAGTGAGGTAACTGATTTATTGCATTCACAAACCCATCATAAAGTTCAGTAACATTTGAAAATAGCTATAAAATAAGTTTTATTAAGTCAAGCTCCCAAACAAACAAGAATTCATTAGTTATTGTTTACTCTTAAATCTTATACTGAAACAAAAGTTATTGATTATAACCAAAACATTTCCATTACTTTGAATTCAAATTTAAAATCATTAGGGATGTTTTTGGGGGTAGTTATGGGATGAATCCATTTACTTTAATCACAATAATATCCTATTTCCATATGATTCCTTTTCATCAGTCCTCCACTGGAGGGAGCTAAAGTGTTTGCTACATGAATATAGGATTGATCCCACCATGCAATACACTTAGTCTAACCACTGTAGGTTTTCCATATCCTACAGATCAGTACTTTCATTGTTGTTGTCAAAGATTGTCTGTAGCCAAGCTTACACCATGAGGTAGCGCCAGAAATTATGAGTATTAAGTATTGTGATTGAAAGACAGAGGAAGCCTAATGCACACAACAGGGCTGGCAGGTTGTAACATGCACAGCTGCCTCTGGGTTAGAGGTTGTTTGGCCACAAACACTGAGGCTTGAATGTAGTCGTTCTAAAGGGCAATGTTCACTGACGGAAGAGCGAGGAACAACAAAAAACATGCTTACCTCAGGAATCAGGAAACATTTATTACCAAAATATGCCAAACATACAAGGAATTTGTCTTGGCGGTTAGTGCGCGACAGTAGACAGACAAGACAGCAGTGCACAAGTAATAAAATAAAGTAAAATGAAATGCTAATGCAATGGGTTAGTAGAATAACCTGCTCTTATAATCACACAGCCAACATTTCAATGACATGGCACTGAAATACGTGGTCATGGAACCAACAAGATGCAGCAGGAATAGTTAAATACTTAAATGAAGTGTGTCAGTAGGTGTCGATAGAGGTTTAAAATGTCAAAATGAACACGTGGGTCTTTGGTGATAAAGCAGTTAGTGTGATGGAGGTCGGCCTTCGTGCAGCTTTGAGTAACAATTAAGTCAGTTTGACTGGCCGATTGATGTTATCTAAAAATAAAAGTCACCGAGAAGAAAACGATGGGTGGATCAACTGCAGGAGGAAACTCAACTTCAAATGCAGAACGAATCTCACTGAAGTCAAATCATCTCAAACATCTCAAAGACACATTCCACAGAGGCTTCATAGCCTCGTCTTATTCTTTAATCAGGGTTTGTCACTCTGCTGAGTGCCCGGAACAAAAGGAGGAGCCTATATGTTCACCCAGCTGGTACAAATTCTGTATAATAAGTAACATAACACCAGTGCAGGGCATTTTGAACTAATGGTTTACTGTACTTGTTTTCTGTACTGAGTTTGGCATCCTCACTGCACAACTTTTTTGCATGTTTATAGTTGTAACTTTAATGAGTCAAATGCCTGATATGTTTGTATGAATGTCTTAGATAAGGCCTTTGCTTTCATTAGGGAACTTCGTGTGACACGGGTGACCGTGGGTACGTTCCGTGCCACTGGGTTCTCAGATTTTGTCCTCGCTTTCAAAATAAAAGCTTGAACAAGATGCTGCCTCCTGAGCGCATTAAGTTCAATCCATATTTCAGGGTACAAAACGATTTATTTTGACTTTTAAGTTGAGGTGCGTGGTAGTACATATTTGAAAATACTTTTTTGTATTGATTGCGAATTTACAAACAGGCCGAAATATTAACGCTTAACACCGCCACGAGGACTTTATTTTGAATCCCTCGACGGGAAGTGACGTCGTTTCGTGACGCCGGCTTGATCTCTCCCCCTGGCCGGCTCCTGTGGTGGGCGGAGGACAGACTCCAAACAAACAGATAGCAGCGACTCTCCCACGCCGAGGAGCGACGAGCGCGACACTTTTATTTTGTTATTTTAAAAAAAACAAAAAAAAAACAGGAACAAGTCACGGTCGTCCGCAATGAAGTCATCAAACAGTCGCCCCTCCAGAGTGGCTACAAACCCTTTCGTGCACGAGCTGAAATTCACCATACCACAGGCAATACAGGTAAGGCAATTAAGACCACGAGAGATTAATTGATTAGACCCAACTTCCCTTTTCCAGGGGGAGAGAAAAAAGTGCACATTTGCCAACTCGCGCGCTAATTAAATTAAACCCGTAACCTCTGTCGGACACTGGTTGTTCCTGTTTTGCAAGTCAGTTGACACTGTGGGGACACAACGTGACATTTTCCCATTTCGACATAAAAGATGAAGAAGTCCTTTTTAAAGTCAAGTCAAAAGACACGCAGGGACACGCAGCTGTGCGACGTGTCCCCGGTAGCAGTGGGTATTGTGAGCAATCCCTTTATTTAAGTGGCAATAAATAATATAAAAATATAACTTTTTTAAAACCATCCATCGTTTGTCATTTGATGGCTCACTGTAATGAGTGCTCATCAGGATAAAGCTTTAATATTCTACTATATGGGTTTGTATGATGCTGAAAACAACCAAGTGACTCCATAATAATTATATTATTATCTGAAGGACACTAGTAACGGTGACTGGGCACCAGATGAGAGTAACACTTGTGCACATGTTCTGTTTTTCTGAAGGAAACGAGCGGTTTACCCCTTTTACACACTTCTGGTCATCAATTGGGTAACTGCCCCGCAGTTCTCCATTTACCGGAGACGTCTGCGACGTGCCCCACGTGACCCCGGGTGGGTCTCCCACGTGACCCCGGGTGGGTCTCCCACGTGACCCCGGGTGGGTCTTCATCGATCAAATTTGCATCAAACATTTGCATCGGCTTTTTTTTATTTTACATAATAGCTCTACTCAACCGTTTAAAAAGTCAACACGTGCCCTGCTTTCTCTCTCCCTTTGGGAGTGGGGGGGGCTGGGGTCCTAGGACGACACAACTTCAATACAGTTGGAGCACATTTGAAGAAGCGCACACACCTTGTTGAAGGCCGAACGTGAGAGAGATTCTCTGCTGCTTCGATACGGACCGACCGCTGCGGCCGCAAACCCCCCAAATCCATCGTGGAGATCGATTCGATTGTCACTGCGAGACGAGCAGGGGCTTCTCATCAATCAACCGATGGATCAATTGGTTCCCGGGCCTTGGGGGTTAAGCTGACTGCTGACGTCGTCCACCGGGCCGACTAAACCGGCAGCTTCATTCGTATTTCAAGCGGCTTCAGCGATCACTTCTTTCCTTCAGGGTTCGCTATCTAGGGTTTGCCATCAAGTATTTCCAGTTGATCCTTCCCCAAATCCCGCCCTCGAATGTAAACTGGCCAATCCTCTTGTGGCATCGGTGAGCCAAGGGTCTGACAGCTAAACGTCTCCGCTCCGCAGACGCACACAAACATTCTCCTTTTACTCTTTTACTGATTGTAACAGTGAGTAGAGACCTGCTTGACAGGTACAGTATTCATCTTTATTTTCTAATTGTCTGGATCGGTTTAACCGGCCTTCTCTGCTGAGTCACCTTCACACTCATTGTTGACCCATATCTTAGTTGTTCCATCAAAGAGTGCGGTTAGTGACCGCGTGGGCTCCGTAGGCCGCATGAAGCGGCGGCATGGGGGGCGGGGCTTAGTGAACTTCTCCTCTCTCTGCTCCAGAGAAACGCCCTGAAACAAGTTTCACCAAAAGCCAGCAACAAATATCAGAGTCTCTCTGAAGTGGTTCGCAGTCACACAGTCCGACAAAAGGAGGACGTGCACGAGCTTTATCTGTTCTCTCTGCAGCTCGGGGCTCAGTAGATGCCGGCTTCCATTCAGAGCCAAACCCACAAAGCGCCAGACTCAGGATATTGGCCTTTGCGTGCGCGCCGGCGGCTCCCAGCGATGACAACCGGTGAAAAGTGCTGAACGCTGAGCTCTGCTTTGCAAAGAGACACTAGATCCACTGGATGCTCTGACCCCCCCCCCCCGACGCGCCGCTCGAGCTGAAAGAAAGTCTTTACTGCTGCATGTTGTTGCACTTGATCGCAAACAGTAGTGAGTCTGTGTCGGGCCGTAGTTGTAAACGGGAACATGTGTGTCTCTGTCTCCCGCTGGGCAACGTGGCTGAGAGGTGTGTGTGTTTGTTTTTTCCACTCGACACACGTGTGAACGTCTTCGTGGCCCCATCGTCCAACAAACCCGAGCTGTAACTAGACGGAGAAGGAACGACTTGCTGCGCGGACGCCGCTGGGCTGCAGGTCCAGTGTGTGTGTGTGTGTGTGTGTGTTCGTGTGCAGGTCTGTCACATCGAGACAGCGTGTGCTGCTTGATGCATGAAGCACATCCAGCCCCCGCCTCTCCCTCCCCCCACTCGCCCTCCCTGGAACTTTGTTTTTCTAACTTCCAGCAAAACATGATCAGCTGCCATGCGGACCAACCAGGTCAGCAAGTGAGACAGACAGATGGTAGCGATCCTTTCCGCTGAGTCACACACGGCCCAACGTCCCACAGACAGACAGGCTGTCAACTCAAATAAACCTGTGACATCCGACGGAGGCACGTGGGGTCCAGTCCTAGTAAACATAACGCCAATAATTCCAGATGAACGGGAGATCTGTCTGGTTGTTTCAGTATTAACTAAAAGTGTAAAGCAAAGCGTCCGCTTAGATTTCTGAGTATAAGCTTCAAACTATTGTACATCACACACACACGTTTCCTCCAGGTAGGTAATTAAGGAAGGGTTTGACCATTCTAAGGAAAAAGCCATCTGTACTCCAACAACATGACAGACGGCAGGTTGAGGGCTTAATCTCCCCCCCCCCCCCCCCCCTCCAACACCAGCCCTATCTGCCTCCGCTAAACTTCTGAAGGCAATTTAGTTCTCAAAGGGAGTATTTTTAAGTGGGGTTGAAGAGATAGTCCATAACCAGAATATCAATATCAAGATCAAATTTATTGTCAATGTCCAGCAGGGACACACATTTAGCCTTTTATCACCACAATGTGACGATGTGACTGGCTTAATTTTGTAAGTAAAGGAAGTGTGTTTTTGTGACATGACATGAACTGATTCTGGGGCGTCATTCATACAGAGTCTCAGCCTAGTCGGCAACCGGAACGAGCCGGCCACCAGTCCTATAAGCCTATAAGGAGATGCCAGTCTAAAACCACGTCGAAGTGATAGCCTAGTGTTTGGACACTAATCTTGGAAGGTTTTACGTTGGTAGAGTGAAGATTACTACTCTAGGACAGGCTTTTGTGAAGGCCTCACAGCGGAGAAACGGGAGGACTCAAAATCATGAGTTTTGTTGAATGGCCGATTTCCACGTTCAACCCCTCTTTTGAATTGTCTGATCCTATTGGATCCGACTAGAATGAGCAGGTATGGATCGACAGCTCCATTAGCTACTCAGAAGCAGAAACGGGCAGAGGGTAAATGACGCTCGAGACGTCTGGTTTGGAATTCAACCCCCAAACTCCCCTAACGTCATTTAAAAGA